TGTAATTTGAAAATAAATTTAAAAAATTTTTAATTAAAAAATAATAATTAAAAAAACCAATTTCCTCCTTCCCACACTTAAAAAGACGTCAGGGTGATCACTTTGTAAGTTATATAAATGTCTAATCACTATGTGTACACCTGAAACTAATATAATATGTCCACTGTCATGAAAAATAAATTTAAAAAATTTAAGAATATTTTTAAAAAGACATTGATTAAAATCAAGCCTTAGTGACCTGTATTTAATATTTTGGAAATAAAAATCTATAATTAGTATATCACTCAATAATACACATTTCATTCATTCATTCATTCATTAAACAAATATTATTGAGTGCCTACTGTAAGCTCCGCTTTCTTCCAAGGCCTGTTACAAACCCCCTGCCCTGCTGATGCCTGCATTCTAATGCAGGGAGGCAGGCAATAAACCAAGCATACATCACTTAAATTGTATACAAATACATATACACATACAAACACACAGATGTACATCTATACAGGTGTACACAGCAGGTGGTGCCAAGGATGACCTTTTTTTAAAAGTGACATTTGGGAAGAGACCCAGAGGAAGTGGGAGAGAACATCAGGCGCATATCCAGATAAAAATCTTGCCAGACAAAAGGAATAGTCTCTTTTCCTGCATGTGGTACCCACCCTCATCCAAATACAAAGTCCCTGAGGATGTTCGGTACTTGGTTTAAGAACAATTAAGCAGGTCAGTGTAGCTCAGCAGTGAGTCAGGGAGAAAATGGTGGAAGATGAGGTCAGAGAGTAATAGGGAGGAGGAGTCTTGAAGGTCAAATTAAGGTCTTCGGATTTCACTCTGAAAGACTAGAACATTCTTTGGAAAGGTGACAAAATATGGCTCTTTCAAAGGATCACGTTGGCTACGGCATTGAAAATAAACTGCAGAGGGAGGCAGAGGCAGACGCAGAGACTTAATGGAATTATTATTCCAGGCAAATCAGGATGGTGGTCGGAGCAGGGTGATTATCTTCGGGACAGTGATAGGTGGTCAGATTTTGTACATATTACAAAGCTGACAAGATGAGCCGGTGGATTACTTGGGGCCCATGAGAGAAAAGGAGGGGTTAAGAATGACTCTGAGGTTTTTAGCCCAAGCAACTGGAAAAATAGCCTTGATAACTGCCGACATTAAAGGGCTGCAGAAGGAGAAGGTGAGGGGTGGGGATGGCGCTAGCGCCCAGGAGTGTGGTTGAAATGCCGACCGAAGATGCAGGGAAGGCCTTTGCGGACACCTGGGGAGAGGGAGACCTGGTAACTGACAGGTGCGGATGAGCCACAAGCTGGATGAGGTCACTAGAAAGTGGCCACAGAGAGAGATGAGGGCTGAGGGAGGGGCCTTCGAGGGTTCAGGATCAGAAGATGAAAAAAAACCTTCCCAATATGACTGGTTCGATGCTCACTTAAATAGCACTTGCAAAGCACTTCAGCCGTCCTCCCTGCTCCATAGGTTACACTCTCCCAGAACCTTAGTTGTACAAGTCCTTTTCTTAGAAAAAGACGTTCTTTCTTGATCAAGTTGGGTGAACTTCAACATTTCCTTTCTCAAGAAGTAACCTTTCATGGACCTGAACTCAGAGTGGTTGAGAGCTGTAAAGAACCGACTAACAAGTTAGCTGGCCCTGGCTTTATGGATGCGGGCAGAGGACAGGAAACTCCCGGGTCAGACGCACAAGAGTTTATCTTTTGCAGCACAGCAGGTGGCGTGAGCTTCATACTGACTGGCTGCCTGTGTTCCCTATGTCCCCCAGAGGCAAGAGAACTAGGTGTGGCTGGAGGCAGCACTTGCAGTGGGTTTGTTTACAGCTGAGGGACCCCACACTTGGAAGACCCCGATCTTTTATAACGAGCTGCAAGCAAGCCCGTCCAACCTTTGCTCCGGGGAGAGATATCATCTTCGTAACACTAGACAGCACACAAATCAGCACTTGGCTTCAGGGGGAAACACTGCCTCTGGCTTCTAAGCTTCTAAGGCTGTTTGTTGTACGAACATCACTGAAAAGATCATTCAGAGCCAAAAGTTACCAGCGCCTCTGCTCACAAGAGATATATGGGCAATCATCTCCCAGGAAGAGAAGAAATTGTTAAGTGGTACCTTTTGGAGAATTTATGAGCCCTTATCCTGTTCCAATTAGGAATTCAAAACCTTACTATTAAAAAAAATTAAAATTGTATTTATTTGACTAGACAACACTTTAACCTGGTACAAAGTTCAACATAGAAAACATTAAGGATTACAAAAAATGGTATAAAGTGGTTTTTCATTTGTTGTGGGAAAGGAACACACTTGTATCATACCTATTTTTCTTGCACCCTGGTTAATTCTGCCTTTTGATCGACTTTCAAATGACTAAGATTACCTAAATAGGTATTAAAAGCTCAGCTCTTAGGGGATGTAAAGAACGACTTTTGTATTATTGGAGTTTTATCAGTTTTCTCCCTCAGCTCCCCACACGCATCTGGTCTGCCCATACAAGCCCCGATAACAAAGCAAAGGGTCTAAGCCAGCATAAAAAACTACGTAGCAGCAACTCTGTAACCAAGAGCTGCCTGAGAACAGGCTTCAGTACAGGTCTCTTATCTGTTGCATCTGTTGGACATACATGTACCTCTGTAATCAACGATACATAGCTGTATTTCCACTCTTTTCAGAAGATCGTGTTACTGTCTAGTAACAGTTTGAGGACATATATCATAGTAAGCACTTGATAAATCTTGTTGACAAGCTATGCCCATCAAGCCTTGAAATGTGACTCGTCCAAATTAAGATTTGCTGTTAAGCTAGTATGAAAAAAATGATGAAGAATATCAAATATCTCAATAATTTTTATATTGATTGCACAGTGAAATAATATTTGGGATATATGGGGATAAATACAATGTACTATGAAAATGGATTTTTTTACCTTTTTAATATAGCTATTAGAAAATGTAGAATTACACATGTGGCCCACATCATATTTCTATGGGGCAACATGGCTCTAGAATCTTGGGGAAAATGCATAAACTGGCTAGAATACAAGGCAGGAGGAACTTAAACTGCTGTCTTTGGATATTGAGGAAGAGGGAGATCCCAGAAAGTTGGAGACATAAGACAGCAGACATTGACAGATTCAGTATAAGAAAACCAAAATTTGTAAGAACAGATGCCATTAATTTTAATAAAGTTGTGTTAAATTAAACATGATTCTTACAGATAGCAAGTGCTCTGAAAATATGATGCAATTAATACAAAAATTCAGCTTTTCAGAAACACATCGATAGCATGAAACGAAGTATATAGTACAACTTTCCAATGTAAATAACTTCCATTCAATGCTTACATTTAATCTAGAAGAGTAAAAAGCAAGGAAGCGCCTACCCCACAGGGATAAACAAACACCTTTGATGTATTGAACAGTGGCTACCCGGACTTGGGACTAATGCTTTGTACTTTCAATGACAAATACAAAATACATAGAGGGTTACAGATTTTATTTATTTCATACTGAATTTACCCCTTGAGACATGTCTCAGGAAATTTATGAGCAAAAAATAAAACAAAATATAATGCTTGACTCCAAGTTAGATAAACTGGCTGTAACCAGAAAATATTTTTCCTCTCACACGCTACCTAAGAGGCTCCAATTCGGTGCCTCTGGGTTCTTCTGCATTACACACAGGTGATGTATAAATGGAGTCGGCACACCTCAACTGAAATTTCAACTGAAATATCACATGGTCTCATCTTTTTCTTTTACAGACAAGAACATGGAGCCACAGCGGGACAGGGAGCGTGCCTGAGGTCACAGAGCTGCCTCGTGGCCGTGGCGGGGCTCAAGCCACACAGAGTCACAGCACAATCAGCACCCTGGGTGTGACTCTGGTGCGTCCTGACAACCGACGCGGGTGGTCTGAAAACTGGGGTTTTCAGGATTAAAGACTGTCTCTAAGATGTACGTGACAGCCTTTGGTCATCTCACCCGAAATATATGCTAGTGCTCTTTCTCCTGAGAGTTGATGCTCAATGAAAGAAACAGCTGCAGACATTAGAAAAGTCCTGCCTCTCCTTTCTTCACGTATCTGAGGGTCTCTAGGCAGCCTGAAGTCTACCTGACAGCCCCCTGCCATGGATGGATGGCTTAAGATGGCAATGCTGAGCCTTTGTGCCCTAAGAGACTTAAAATGAAACCTGGTTTCCAGGGCTGAGGGTGGGTACCACATGCAGAATGCAGAGTAAAGCCACAGAGCAGGCTCATGGTCTTGTCCCTTTTCGATCTCTCTTCCTGTCTCCTTCAGCCCCAGCCTAAGCCACCCAGACATGCCCTCAGCTTATGACCTATTTCTCAAATCAGCACAAAGAAACTACTCTCTCTTCTTCCCCACTCAGCCTGGCCATGGCTCCGTGCACAACAGGTCAGCATATCTGACACAAGATCCGATAGTCATAACCCCACCAGGGAGGCTTGTTAATGGAAACCAACCTCAAACGGGTAGCTTCCTGGATGGAAGGTGTTCTTTAATTCTTACTTCGCCACACACACACACACACACACACACACACACACACACACACACCAGGCCCCCCCAGGAGCCAGGGACTCAGTACCCCAATCTGGTAAGTTTCCCAGACCCTCCTCTACATAATGGCAGTTGGGGGAAATTTACTTTGCGGTAGGAGTCCCTCATTTCATAGGAAAAGGCATAAAAAGTGCAAACACAGAGCTGCATTTTCACTGTGCCCCTACCATTGTCCCCCCTCCCAGGATCAGGAATTCTAGTGAACACCCAAAGGCCTGTGATCCCTGGTTTTGGGGTGACTCAGTTTCCCCAGAGAGTCCAGTCCAATCCCAAACTAGGGAAGGTGAGTGATTCCTGGGCTCTTGAGCATGTTCGCTCATCATTGGTGACTTGGCGCAGAGTTCGGGGACAGGGTGGAACCCACGGGGAGCACTGACTGTGACAAGCCACTGAGCAGGGAAGGAGGCACCATACCTTTGCAGGTGAAACATTTGATGTGGAAGTGTTTGGTCTGGACCCGAAGCACTTCGCCCTTGCATGGCTCCCCACATTTATGGCAGTGAATGACAGGCTTCTCGGATGGATGGTGAGGGTCCTGAGGGTGAGCCACTGAAAGGGAAAGGAAGGATCTATGTGAGCAGGAGGAATTCCTACAAATATTGAGCACATGCACAAATATCCCCATAATTTTGGTGTCAAATGCGCTGCATATGAATTCGTAAGTGTGAACTGAGCCCCTCCCCCCATGCCACGACCCCAGGAATACACCCCTCCAATAAGAAAGTTGTGGCTTTAACAGTCTGGCAGGGAAAACACTGGGCTTATTTCATGGGGACCCAGCGGTTCTCTCCTCCTCCCAAGCCTCTCTAGGTCTGTATCACTGGGTCCTTCAATAGATGATCTTGTTCGGTTCAATGTTTTATAATTTCTCTTTAAATTCATTGCACTGTAAATTTCTTGAGGATGGGGAGCATTTCTTACATTCAGGTTTTTTCTGCCCATGGGTGCTTTCTCTTCCTTCACCCAGCTCCTCAGAACACAGCAGAATGTTTATGCACCAAAGGGCTTAGTAAATGTTTACTTACTTAGTACATGCTGGCTAGCTTCTTGTCTACTCTACCAGAGACAGTGCCAGTGTTACATTAGCAACTTATTTAACCTTCTGGGGGGCCTGCTGGGAGCCTCCTCTTATGTGCACAGTTCCTGACACACGCACTGCAGGCAGGAGTTACAAAAAATATTAGTAACCATGTAACCCTCTCTAAACCTCAGTTTACTCTCCTACAAAACAAAGAGGGTTGGACCAGATGATTTCGAAGGCCTGTGCAGGCTCTGAAACCCTGGGATGGGGTTATTAGAGACTAACCTCTCAGTTCCCAGGGTGTGGCCAGCAGAGAACACTGCTGCTGCCCTGCGGGGGTCGGGGGTAGGGTGGAGGGGACAGGATTTATAGCCTCCTCTTTACAAACAGCAGAGACTCATCAGCGAGAGGACACCTGTGGCCTTCAACTAGCCAAGGGTCCTCATTCACCCTGCGGTTTCTCCAGCCAGAGACGGCAGCGGCTCTTTTTGCTATGAAGTTCCTTTTCTGATCTGAACTGTGTAATATACAAAACATTTTACATAAGTTGCTCTGTCAGTGTGATTCAGGATAAGAACAATGAACCCAAAATGAATCAACCTACACAAAGAACAAAGATGATTTTTTTTCCCCCTCAAACAGTAAAACCAGATTGGACAAGGGGGAGATGTGGGCAGATATTTCTGAAGCTCAATTTAGTAAAGCACCTATAGCAAGGAGCTCCTGTCCGCTGCAGGCATAATGGCGCATTGTTCCTCTCAGACCGTGGTCGCGTTCTCATTTCGCCTGGAAAGAGTTTGAACAAGACAGTCCAAGTAATCCATTATCAGCTAAATTCTGCGAAACAAGGTTCTTCTTGTGAGACTGAGAGTAGGAACAGGTGTCGTTTTGGGTTGAACACCTGATCTGAATTCTCTGCGCTGGACCCCAGGAGCATCCAGCAAAGGTACCAATGTTGCAATACACCTGCATTTCCTTATCTACCTGCTGGGGTCTCTCTTGGAAACTGATGTTTACAACAGAAGCCACTGTTATCTAAAGGAATTAAGGAGAAGCTTACTTTCAAGATCTCTTAACAACCACTGACTTTTAATGTCACTTGGACATTAAAAAAAAAGTTTCTGTTAAATAACAATGTATATTTCAAGTGCTAGCAGAGAATATGTGCGCTTCTTTTTTTTTTTTGGAAAGATTTTATTTAATTTATTTTTAGAGAGGAGAAGGGAGGGAGAAAGAGAGGGGGGAAAACATCAATGTGTTGTTGCATCTCGTGTGCCCCCTACCAGGGACCTGGCCTGCAACCCAGGCGTGTGCCCTGCACTGGTAATCGAATTGGCAACCCTTTGGTTCACAGGCCAGAGCTCAATCCACTGAGCCACACCAGCCAAGGCTGTGAGCTTCTTTGTTAAGTTAATTCCTGCTTCCTATAATAATGGAGGAAACTAATATATATTGAGCATCTACTCAATGCCAGGCATGGTGCTAGGTGCTTACATGTAAGTCATTTTATTACATCCTGTCTCTCCCCATCTCTCTTCTTCTCTCTCCCCCTCTCCCCCTCTCCCCTCCCATCTCCTCTCCACCTGTGAGGTGGGTAATACAGTCCCCATTTGACAGATAAGAAGATAGAGCCTCAGAGACATTGAACAGCCTGCCCAAGTAACAGTAAAGCTCAAAGGTGTACACCCAGTTCTTTCTGACTCCCATGTTCATACTCCTCCCATACTATTTGTAAGTCAGGTGATGATTGTTTTAAGTCAGGGAGTAATTTATTTAGCCAAGCTCAAGCTCGAGTGCAGTTCTAAAAGCAGCAGCTAGGACTCGGCTTACAAAGGGAACAGACGCAGTGTGTGCTATAGTGACGCGAACTGGGCATGGTGCCCATGTGTAATCCTCGAGGTGGCTCTGCCTATCTCCACAAGAACCTGTGTGCCTGCCACGTAGGAAAATGCAGACACCTCAGCCTCACCGAACGGAGTTGGGGATCTGTTGTTTCAGGGAGTTCCTCGGGTGGTTCTGGGGCGTGCTACAATTTAGAAAGGATTTCCCTTTACAATTTGAACAGTATGGCTGAGCAAGTTACAGACCAGAGTGAGGGGGAGAGAAATCCACAAGAACATCCTCTCCAGAAACAATGTTCAACACAGTGGACCTCTCAGTGACAAGGGAGAATGCATTTTTGGACAAGAAACAGCACTGCCATTTCTCGCGGCGCTTGAATTTTTTATAGCTAAGCAAGCAGGCCATGCTGAGTAATGATGAGGGAAGGAAAATATCATTTCACTTCTTGTCCCTTCCCTTCGTCTGAACAGAGGTGCCAGTGCTACTGCTGGCACCAGCCGCAAAGGTCAGGACTGGGATTGGCACCTGCATTTTGCAAGTGTTTCCCTTTGGAAATATATATGACACTGCGAAGTCCTCTGTGCCCAGAGGTGACCTTTGGTTTCCACATCCAAAGAGATGAGCAGAGACTGTCGTTCCATCATCCATCAGCCCAGGCAGACCCACATCAGAACAACCTGCCCGTGAGGAAATGGGCTGTTCTTACTCAAGAATGACAGAACCCAAAGGCCGAAAGAGTGTTTATTTCATCCCAACTCAAATCGGTGTAGACAAAAGACTCTCCTTTTTAAAGATTAATAAAGAGGTTCATTTTACATAACAGCATTTGGCAGTTGGGTTAATACCAGAAGTATGTTCCTTGGCTCAATTCTACATTTTTGAAATATGCTGAGTCAGTTGCAGTATAGCGGCGACATTAATTCCATGCTCCTCCTGTGTGCCAGCTGGCTGTGTGGCTCGTTCTTACTTAATCGCTCCATCTTTCAGAGCCTGGGTGGTCCCTGCTTATTCTACTGAGAGGGAAGATGAGGAGCAAGGAACTTACATTTTCTACCCAAAGTTACCAGCGGGCGATTGGCAGAGGTGCACGGAGCACTTGGGCCTCCCGACTCTCCGTGTGGCACCGAGTAGCCAACGATTTACCCTGGAGCTTGGGCAGACGTGGTTAAAGCCCTCCGTGGCTCATCAGCGCATCGCTACTGTATCAGTAGCACAACGAAAAACCAAAAGCCTTGCTGCACACTTCCTGCATAATGAGGAAATACATATGGAGAGCCAGGAGTCTATTTGCCTGAAATGGTAAAGCAATTTCTCCACTGCATAATATCTGACTTGGAGGGACTCTGCCAACTCAGGTAAAACAGCCTCTGACAAGGCGGAAAAGTTTCACGTCCACTTTCACAGTCAAGCGAAGCGGTCACATCCCCGGAACTGAGGTGCAGGACAGGAACCAAAGTTTCCTGTTGGATGCATTACTTTTGAAACATCTATTCGATGGCTCAGGTGATGAGACTAGAGGATTGAGACCATGACGGAAGTCCCGGTGACCTTCAGTGCCCCCAGGCAGAGGCTGTGATAGGTTGTAAGGGGAAGGCCACAGAGATTAGGCAGAGCCCTTCTTTCTAACCCAGAACCAGGCTACTTCCATCGAAGCAACAGACCAATGGAGCTAGACCACCAGAAACAGAACATCTGAGAAAGCGTATTTGAAATAAAAGTCTTATTTGCAGGTGGCTGTCACAAACCTAGGACTGCTCGGTACGGATGGCACCTTGCCCCAGGTTGCCTGCAATACTCAGAATCTCCCAGGTATCCAATTCCTCCTCCCGAGTGCCCTTCTCCCTCAGTAGCGTCACGGCCCCTTCAGTCATCCTTGGAAACGACGCCCGAGCTGTGCACGCTGCCTTTCAAAGCCCTTACATCCCCATCATCTCCTTTTACTCTCCCGAGAGCTCTACGAGGTCGGAAGAACAGGACCGCCAACCCTATTTTACAAAGGGGCAAACCGACACTCAGAGGAACAGAGTGACTCACCGCAGGCGGCACAGCTGAGAAGTACAGAGTTGGCAGCAAACTAATGCGGTGCCCGTCACACCCAAACAACCCCCTAAGCAGCGACGCCTGGGACGCAGCGGTCACCCTCGATTGCACCCTCTTCTTCAACTCCCACTAAACTCCGCCTGCTCTCGCAGCCTTAGTCACCCCTTCTCTCACCACAGGAACCCGGCCCGCAACCCCTTTTCCTCAGATTGCTGAGCGTTCCTACTCCCTGGCTCCTGCTCCAATGTGACCGGCAAAGCGCAGCTCCCCCAGCCCCCGGCCCCGGCCCCCTGTCCCTTAAGGGTGGGCTGCGCCCAGAGACTTTCTTTCCAAGGAGGAGGGTGTGGAAAAGGGGGGAAGGTCACTTTATGCTGACAAATCTGACAAACACAGCATCGGCCGGGTGAGCAAGGGCAACGTCGGCAGTGGCGGTCACACTGGCGGCGTGTACCTTTCACATGATATAATGACAGCTGGCTCCTCGCCTCTGTGGTCTTTCTTCCCCCAAAATCCGTGGTCCTAGTCCAGTCATGAGAAAATTTCCCCAAGTGAGGACCATTCTACAGAAACTGGACCGGCACTCTTCAAAATTGCCAAGGTCACCAAAAACAAGGAGGAAAGTCCTCTTGTCACGGTCGAAAGGAGC